TAGAATAATTAAGTCCACAGAGAAAGACTGGTGTGTGCCAGGAGCTGAGGAAAGGAAAAATAGGAAATGAATGTTTTGTGGGTACGAAGTTTCTCTTCTGCTGTCAAATGTTTGGACCTAAACAGAGGTAGCAGTTTCCCATTATGAATACATAGCCACTGAACTGTCTCTATGAGTATTTCCTTTTTTTAGTATCAAATTTCATACAAGTTGATTCCTATTATCATTAAAACCCAAATCTCTTCTCCATTTTCATATTGAAATCACTGAAATAAGGCACCAAATGCAAGTGCGCTACTTCAGCAAGGCCAGGCCACAGGCTCAAGCTGGTGGCGCCTGCATTGTGCTACATGTGGTTTGGGTTACCTCCCCTCCTAAGTCTCAATTTCACAGGGATTAAATTCCCCTGGTTGAGTCACAAAAGTTGTTTTAAGTTTTATCTCCTTCACCACCTGCCAAGCATAGCAGGATCTTAAAGTATCAACCTTCTCTGTTCTTTCCACAGAGGGAAAGAGGAGGGCAGTTTATTTAGCTAAGTAACAAAAATGTGTACACTGAGAGCTATAAACATGCTCAAAACTCCTCAGCCCCTCCAGTAAGTATTATTTGGGTCATCTAAGAAGTGAAGATAGGGCTGGGAAGGTGGCTCAGTGGTAGAGTGCTTGCCTTGCATGCATGAGGCCCTGGGTTCGACTCCTCAGCACCACATAAGCAAAAAGAAAAAAGCCAGAAGTGGCACTGTGGCTCAAGTGGTAGAGCACTGGCCTTGAGCTGAAGAGCTGAGGGACAGCGCCCAGGCCCAGAGTTCAGGCCCCATGACCCGACCCCCCCCCAAAAAAAAAGAAGATTCAGTATACTGAAGAGCTGGCTAATGCTGTCTAAGAATTGATGTTTTGGAGCAAGAATGCCACCAAAATCAACGTGGTTCTGTTTTTTGTTGTTGGTTTGCCCGTCCTGGGGCTTGAACTCAAGGCCTGGGCACAGTCCCTGAGCTTCTGATAAAGGCTAGCACTCTACCACTAAGCCACATTCCCAGCCCAACATAGTTCTCTGTTCAAAGTTCTTTAATTCAACCTCTGTTGAATTTTCCTAGTACAGTTCAGTTCTAGCTCTATGAACTAACTGCATCTGAATCACCTTTGGTACTATGCAAAAAATCAAGTTTCTGCCAGGTGTCAGTGGCTCACACCTGTAATGCTATTGAGTCAGGAAGCTAAGATCTGAAGATCATGGTTGAAAAGCCAGTCCAGGCAGGAAAGTCCATTAGATTCTTTATCTCCGATTAATCACAAAAAGGAGAAAACAAAAAAGTTGAGAGTATAAAGCTAAGGGACAGTGCGCACACCTTGAGTTCCAGCCCCAGGACTGGCACAAAAAAAAGGTACATGGAGATATGATTCAGGAAATTTATTTCAAACTGATTCATATGTATGTGTGTGTGTGAGAGAGAGAGAGAAGAGAGAGAGAGAGAGAGAGAGGGAGAGAGAGAGAAAGTGAGAGAAAGAGAAAGTGAGAGAGAGAGAGAGAGAATGTATTGGTACTGGGGCTTGAACCTAGGGTCTCAAGTCCTCACTTAGCTTTTTTGTTCAAGACTAATCCATCTCAAATTAATCTGAAAAAAAAAAACAACAGATTTGTTCTTTTTTTTTTTTTTTTTGTCGGTCGTGGGGCTTGAACTCTGGGCCTGGGCGCTGTCCCTCAGCTCTTCAGCTCAAGGCTAGTGCTCTACCACTTAAGCCACAGCACCACTTCCGGCTTTTTTTCTTTTTGCTTATGTGGTGCTGAGGAGTCGAACCCAGGGCCTCAGGCATGCAAGGCAAGCGCTCTACCACTGAGCGAACTTCCCAGCCCTCTGCACAGTATCTTTACAATAAAAAATATACATTTTAAAAAAGGCTAGATTTCATCCAGTAAGGAGTTTTACCGACATCAAGAAATGACTTGCTACTAGACTGGGCACTACTGGTAACTTAATAACTTCCAATTGGGTACAGACTCTTCTTCCTTGACCATTTTGACAACTAACAGGTTTACTGCCTGAAATAAACTACTTGATTTTAAATTATTTATGCGGCTACACCTAGTGACAGCCTGGTCCTTTTACTGCTTTGTACCTAAAATGCACTGCCAAGTCCTTCTAAAGTGGGCTGGGAAGGTGGCTCAGTGGTAGAGTGCTTGCCTTGCATGCATGAGGCCCTGGGTTCGACTCCTCAGCACTACATAAGCAAAAAGAAAAAAGCTGGAAGTGGCGCTGTTGCTCAAGTGGTAGAACGCTAGCTTTGAGCTGAAGAGTTGAGGGACAGCACCCAGGCCCAGAGGTCAGGCCCCACCACCAGACCAAAAAAAAAAAAAGTCCTTCTAAAGTGCATGGAAAGTGTCTGATCCACAGCTTGACAACACTTCCAAATGACTACAGAAGAGAATTTAATTTACATCAGCTCTTCTAATTGTATTGTTTACAAATACAGAGCAATTTCGAGGATGGAAATCTAGGGCTTTAAAATATTACCTACTTACAGAAAGCAAGTCCTTCATTCAAAATATGCAGAAAGCAGTTATTACATTTCCTAGACGGAACAGAATATTTCAGTAAATATTTTATATGCCAGATATTTTAATATGTACTCAATAACAATATTGCTCATGATTTATTGTCTGATGGTAGAGAGCATAAATCATTACAGACCTTAGGTGTAACAAATACTAGAAGCCAGGCACTGGTGGCTGTAATCTTAGCTATTCAGGAGGCTGAGATCTGAGGATGGAGGTATGAAACCAGCCTAGTGAAACAAACTGGAGAGACTTATCTCCAATTAACTAGCAAAAGCAGAAGTGGAGTTGTAGCTCAAGTGACAGAGTGCTAGCTTTGAGAAAAAAAGCCAAACAAGTGGCACAAAGTGAAAATATGTGTGTATGTATGTGTGTGTATGTATGTGTGTGTGTGTGTGTGTGTGTGTTTGTAGGTAGGGTTGAGCAGAATACATATTCTTTCTTTTTTTATATTTTTGGCATAGACCAAGACTTGAACTCCTTATCTGACACTTTCATTCATTGGTTGGTGCTCTACCATGGGACCCATGCCTCCAAACCCTAACAGAATATAAATCCTGTAATAGAGCAAGAAAAATTGTTTCAAAATTAGTTTCTATTTCTCTATTTAAAGCAATAAATACATAAACACATAAAGTAAGGAAATAGGTGGTTTCTGAGTTTGCAGTACTTGGATAAACTCTAATATTCTGAACATTAAATCCCTCCATAGTTTCATTTTATAACAAGAAGTAATGATGCACCTCATGGTGAAAAAAATGGACAAATATTCCATCTTAAAAAAAAAGGCCACCATAAAGTACTTAAATCTATATACTTAGATACTCTGGAAGCCACATTTCTCCGAGCTTCAGTGAAAAAGTACTATGGTTCCTCTACAATCAAGAAAAAGCAGAGAGGAAAAAATAATAAAACTGGGCTGGGAATGTGGCTTAGTGGCAGAGTGCTTGCATACCATGCATAAAGCCCTGGATTCAATTCCTTGGTGCCACATAAACAGAAAAGGCCTGAAGTGGTGCTGTGGCTCAAGTGGTAGAGTGCTAGCCTTGAGCAAAAGCTCAGGGACAGGGCCCAGGCCCTGAGTTCAAGCCCCAGAACTGGCTAAAAACAACAACAACAAAAAAACCACCCTTTTGTCTTCTAGTTACATTTTTGTCATTCTAGATACATTTCCTTAACATCTCTAAGCAGATAATAATACATCAATTATAGTTACAGAAACTGTGTGTGTGTGTGTGTGTGTGATCCAACATGAAAAGGCCAAAGAACCTGATGCCAAAAATTGTGTGTATGTGTGAGAGTGAGAGACCCAACAAGGAAAGGCCAGAGAACTTGATGAGAGAAGGGGAGGGGGGAAAGAAGAGGGGGGGAGGGAGAGGAAGAGGAAGGAGGAGAGGAGAGAGGGAGAGAGAGAGGGAGAGAGAGACAAGGGTAGGGCAGGAGGGAAAGAAAGACAGAGGGGGGAAGAGCGAGGGAGGGAGAGAGGGGGGAAGGAGAGGGGGAGAGAGATGTGGAGGGAGAAAGGGGGGGAAGGGAAGGAGGGGGAAGGAGTGTTTGTGTCCTTAGAGGGAAAAGCCTGTGTGTGTGTGTGTGTGTGTGTGTAAAGCCAGTGTGTGTGTGTGTGTGTGTGAGAGAGTGAGAGTGAGAGAGAGAGAGAGAGAGAGAGTCCTAACATGGAAAAGCCAGAGACCTGGTGCCAAATTCAGGTCACAACCCCCAAAACTGTGAGAGGCCAAAACACAGACCACGTAGAAAACCTAGCTATTCCCACAGGACCCAGTGCTGTGGGATTTGGGGCATTTTTTTTTCTTTCCCCGCCCAGCTCGGCGGTTTTTTTGGGTTGCAAGCCCCTGGGGGGCACAGGGCCTCGCAGCTCCGCACTCCCCGGGCCAGAAGACGGGGGAGACGGGGCCGCCTCGCCCCCACCGCCCGGCCCACCGGCGCGTCCCCCAGGTGCCCTTGGAAGAGGCGGCCGCGAACCGAGCCGCACC